GATCTGCATGCAGTTTTATGAATAATGAAAAATATTATATACATATTTATGTATGTACAAATAAATAGACACATAGATTACATTGCTTTACAATTAATCAGAGATTTGAGAAAGAGTTTACCCTATTCAAGCTTCGCAATGTTTCTCCCCTTTTTCATCGCGATCACTTAAAAATATCGACGATTGAAAAAGATTTTTCCCGATTCGTAAATGATTTTTAAATATCGAATTATATTAGATCTTGAAAGTTTCGTTCTTTCAATATTCCAGATCCATATTTCAAAATTCTATCTATATATCTTCAAATATGAGTATTCAATATTTACATCAGCTTGAGGAATACGAGATTTGGCGAAAAAATGGTGAAAAATCGTTTCGAAATTTAAATTGATTATTCAACAATAACGATAAGCTCGAAGTAGCATCGTCTTTCTCATTAGGAACGGTTTCTTCCTCTTTCTAGCCTCTTCTGGCATGGTTCAATGGCCGGCCAGTTTTTACCTGTGAAACAAGTGCCTCGACGTGGGCCGGGCATGACGAAATAATCAAGTCCATCTGAAAGCAAACGGGGTAAAAAGGGACAAGAATTAGAGGGGGATGATTCGTTTCTTGTGAAATTAGTAAAGCCAAATCTTGAATGGGTTTTTTTTTTTTTTAATGAAATTTAGCCCAAATTTAATTCTTCTTGGAGTTCAATCTTTAAAAGATATGATAAAATTAATTAGAAGATTATGGGTTTATGCGTAAACATTCGAGCCAGATTTCATTCTTGGTATCTTGGAATTAGTGGACAATGATTCTTCAATTGTTATTGTTAAACGATGTTAATTTAATTAATAGTTTAAATGCCTATTTAATTAGAATCATATATTGTTAATATATTGATATAAGAAAAATGTAAGAAATTTGAAGAGAACGGGTTAAAAGAAAATAAAATGCGTCGAATGATTAAAACTACACGCAAATATAACGAAACCATAAATTTTTCACAGCTTTTCCCATTTCTCTCTTTAAATCGTTAAAAATTTCATTTTCAACTTCTATCCACAAAATTCTCAAAAATAAGAAAAATCTGCGCGTATAAATAACAAATATTTATCCTTTGAAAATGATACACTTTTCATACATACTCGTAACGGGATCGTAATAATGTAAATGAAATTGGAGATGAAATTTTTCCAATATGAAGGAAATATGAAAGCTGTAAAACTTTATCTTCAAACTTGAACCTTGAACCATTTTCCACCCGATTAGCTTGGAACAAGATTCCCATTATTAAAGTTCCTCTATGAAAACCGACGTCCCTCCCACTCCCCTTTCCAATCCCTTTTAAACTCCCTTGATTCGATTTTTAGCCAAGAGTCCAATAATCAAAGTAAAAAGCATATAAACTCGGCAAATATCTCGCCGACTGTTCAAGAGTTCGTCGTTCTATCTATATCAGGAAATTGCGCTTCTCTGAGTTTCGTCCTACCTCTATATATGATATTTCGGATGCTGGTGGACCTACGTTGCCAAATTGTTTAATTCACGGATGTGCTACGAGATGGTTGTCGCTCGAGTTTCGATACTTCGACTCCTGGAAGGAGTTTCGCGTCCACCTGAATCACGTGTTCAAAGCAGAATATCATAATTTCTCGTGGTTACGAGTTGTGGCATGTTGGTCCATGAACGTTAGAAACATTCACGAAAAGAATGTTAAATTATTATTAAAAATTATTAGTCTCGTTTGAGAGGAAGGAAATCTTCGTGGTGGATTTAATTTTATTTTTCTTTTTTTTTTATTTCTCGACGGATTGTTCTCTGCGTGGAAAAGGAAAAAAAGAAAAAAAAGGGGGATGAATTAGTTAGATTTAATTCTTCTTCCTTCTCCTCTTCTTCTTCTTCTTAATCTCTTTAAGAGAAAGGAAGGATCTTCGAAGGATCGAGTTTTGTAATTTCTTAAATTATAAGTTTTTCGTTAAATCGTTTCGTAAGTCTGGAAAGACAGTTTAACAAATAAGAAAAAGTCAAGTTAATGATAAAAATATTTATTAAAATTTCGGTCGGTGTAACGTGGCTAATGTTCGATCGCGTTACAGCATGCGAGAATAAGAAGCACCACGATTAAAAACATTCTTAGATCCGTTCGAGGATCAGACGTGCAAATCCGATTTCCTTCGAAACCAATCCATTTCTCAGCTTCTCCCTCTAATTTCCCCCGAATTCGTAAATCTTCCCGACTCGTAAAACTCGAGCTCGAATCCGCGTAAAAATCTCCCGGTTTTTACGCGGTTTCCGCCCGTCTCTCGCTTTTATTTATCAAAGATGAAAAAAGAAAAACAAAAAAAAGAATAAAAACAATTTACAAATAAATTCGAAACCTTTACAGAAGCTTTTCCCAAAAAGCGATGAAAAGCACCGAAACTTCCCCAATAATAGCAAATCTTAAATTATCATCGAGAAACGTAATTAATTCTCAGGTTTCTCCCTGGAACAATATTTTCCATGATGTCGATCAAATAATTTATCAGATATGTACAGACCATTCGCGGAACAGGAGACCAGGATAATACTTTTGCTTGGCTACCGTCTCGTGGAATCGAACATATTATTCCATAACAATCTGAAATTTAACATATTGATATTTCTTTCCTTTTTTTTTTAAACAACAACAATGTTCACACTGTTCAATCGCAAGCCGTTAACCGAGAGCAGAAGAGAAGAAGAGAAGAGAAGAGAAGAAAAGAGAAAAGAAGAGAAGTAAGGAACTGCGTACCTTATACTGGTCGTCCTTGTCTGGCTTAGGCTCGGATGCCTCTTCACCGGCGCCCTGTACCCTCTCCGGGGACAACAGATCCACCAGCTGCCGCAGGCAGCGGCCAAGAAACTCTCCCTGAAGTGTTTCGACATAAACCCATAAACGATTGGATTTATGCAACTGGAACACGCAACACTCGTAGTTTCGTATCCTTTTCATTTCTCCCCTGTCGTTTACATTCCCGTTCATAAGCATTTAAACGATTTCGAATTTTATCCAACGCTTCGAAGGGAAGAGAAGATCGTTTTAAGATCGTTCTGAAAACTACTCTCTCGCATTTACTTAAGTTTCACTTCGAACGAGAAGCGTAAAGTTTGAAATGCGATTATCAAAAGTTTATTCGTATTTTTCATGTATGATGGGATGTGTGGAGTGACGTTGAGGTAGTTAAACAACTTATGAACGGCAATGTACCATTAAAATTTACAATTTGGTGCTGTAATATCGATCAATAATAGATAAAATAGATATAAAATAGATATAAGACGCGTATCACGAAGCACGAATGAAATAAAATTGGGCGAAAGAGGGTAATGGGTGTCAGAGATAAAAGTGGAAAATAAGTTATCGATTTAATTGCGCTCGAATAGCTAAACGGGAACAATTTGCGGTTAAGAACTTTTTCTCTTTCTCTCTCCCTCTCCATTGCTTGACGACGCTTGAACAATGGAGAAAAAAGTTTCGAGATGAAATTACGGATTCTTAGGTGGTGTTAACGTAATAAAGATAATCAAAGGGCAATTTTCTCGTGGCACGGGTAGTTACGCGGACGAATTATTATGTTAACGAAGGATCATCGTTACACGAACGATGATTGCGTCTGGATTATGATCATCAATATTGGATTACATCGTGGATAGAAATAAGATGAAATGAAAATCGATAAGATAATAAACCTCTTGGAAATCTCGTCTAGAAGATTTTTATGGAAATTAATTAAATATAATTAATCTGTGACACTGTTCCAGTAATTCAACGTGCAATATTTATTAATTACAACTTTCTCTTTTTTTATAAAAGTGTAGGATGATAATATTACCTTTGTAGCTTGGTAAAAATCTTTTTAAATTTCTTAGTGTAATTAGATGGATTAGATTCGATCGATTTCACAAAATGGAGATCGAAAAGGAATATATTTTTGTTCATCTCGAAACTTATTCTTCATCCATTCGAACGGTTCATCTTCCTTTTAAGAAAATAGAGAGAATAGAACGCGAACGTTAACTCGATGGAGAAATTAAACGAAACACTATGGGGAGCTATTCGAGCGTCGTTGTAAATTATTCTCTCTGAGAAGTTAAATCTAATGAATGCAAAGGGGAAGTTTGATAAAGAGGACGATCTACCTGTTAAAATAAGCCATCAGCTGAAAAGCGGTGTTAAGATGCTTGTACGTGCCAACTTTTACGCGTGGCAGGTATCCATAAGCTGTTAGCATGTTATCCACGAGAATTGGACCCCAGCAAATGACGAACAACACCACCACGGCCACCAACATCTTCACCACCTGTCCAATATAATTTTATAATTTCGATCTGATTCGCATAATTGAAGTAACATTTCGCTTTGCATTTTCCAACTTTTAATTTTCAAATCAAATTTCTAAAATTGAGAGTAAATTATTGAGAGTATAGAAATCGGCACTTTGGCCTATAAATGAAAAGAAAAAGTAAGACAAGTAAAAATTGATAGGAAAAGTAACGAAACATTCTTTCTTAGAGAGTTAGAAATACATTAAGATCCTTTCGCTCTTAATGCAGCAACGAGAGCAACTTTGCTGAATTCTCTCATCCCTTCGACGTGAACTAACTTCATCGATCGATACCTATAAGCCCTGCTTGCCAATTGTTTTCGATCGTATATCACGCCGAAATAAAAACTTTCTTCTCAACTTCACACGAATTAATCAAACTCGATCAAAGTTGCGCTGCAATTAAATTTAATTAGGTTCTCTATTCGTTTACTTTCCTCTTCCCTCCCTTCGTTTGCCGATAATTAATTCGATTCTCAGGTATTATTTATTATTAGTCACAATTTAATACGCTAACCTCTTTATCAAACATCCTACCTAATATTTCTAATCCTGATATAAATCGCAATAAATGTTTTCAACTTTTTGATAATAATAAACGAATATTAAACGAATATTAAACGAATATTTTTTCGGGATAAGTAAAAAATTACCCGGTTGAGAAAAAAATAGGCGAGAAACGACACTGCATTAGCACAAAGGAAATGATCTCTCTTGTTTTTTTTTTTTTTCTTTACTTTGATTTGACCCGAAAAAACCCTGCTTGAAATGCGCAATAATTACCATTCGAATGAGAGCGTGCACGATTTTCCTAGGCAAATTGTGTTTTATGAAACGAATAGGGGAGGCGGTATCGAACTTTTATGAATTTCAATGGCAACCAGAACTTTTTAAGCGAGCATCCACTTCGCATCTTTCCTCGACTTTTCGCTTTTGTTTCATTTCGTCACGTTAAACACACGATGTTTTAATTAACCCGAGAGTTAATTCGAGAGTTAATCTCCGTTCGAATTTCGTGGCAATTTTCCAAATTTGTTCCACGAAATCCTTAAGGAGGAAAAATTTAATTTTACGAATTTTTCTTTTAATCTTTATTCCTGAGAATATATCGAAACTCTTCGATACATCACCGTTTAATTCTTTCTTAATTGAAAACTGAACGTTTCAGCGAATAGTTTAAGAGGATAAAATCACGACAAATTTCCCACAAATTCTTCGTTCGAATGCTGGATGATCGAATCGCTCGATCCAACAAACCTGTCTTATCGTACGAGATTCTTCTTCTGTTTGACTGTCCTCTCGTTGAGAACGACGATTATTGTTTCGCACGCTATTCCTCTGTGTCATGGGTATGGATTCTGCGTCCACGTTACTTGGATTCAATCTGCAACGTTAAAAGAAAATACTTTTGTTTCATTTCTAACAGAGAAGAAAATTTATATATATATTTCAAACCGAACGCCATTGTAAATGTACAACTGTAGAATTTTATCTATCGTGTAAAACTTGAATTTCGTACGTTTCACGTATGAAAACAGAACAGGTTTCTCGCTCGAACCAATGCTCGATCCGTTTTCTCATCGATACGCAAACATCTCTCTTGTAATCAGGTAAATGTAGATCGTGCGTGACTCTACGACCGTTCCAGATCTCAAAATTACCATGGATTTCAAGCGTGAGTTCTAACACTGAATTAAGCCAATCGATAAAGCGACAGGTATAAACGTAACTCCTCCGTTAGACGTCCCCTAAGATATCAGATACCATCGATGTCTGTGATAATCGATGTTGCGGTGTGTATATATATATATTCTCGTTTACAGAGAGTTGCACGGACAGAGAATATGCCGAGTGTGGATGGATGGATGCGTCGAATGGGTTGATTTTTACAACGAAGCATTACGATGAACTGTATAAAAATAAAATTGAACGGAAAGGAAATTTTATATAGAGTTGAGAAGGGAATGGTCGAAGAGAAATCGGTGTGGAAAAAACGTGGAAACATTTGTAAAATTTCACAAGATTTATCTTCACCACAGATTCCCTTTAATTATTCCATTATTAAAGAATTATTCTTGCTCCGTTCAAATGTTTGAATTATTTTCAAAAAATAATCGCGAATATTCTCTCTTTTCAACGAGAGAGAATTAGAAAGAAAAGCTCGTAAAAGATTATCTCTTGACGTGCGAAAATGAGATATAAAATTAAAATTCAACGAATACAATGTGTTTTAATAAAATAAATTTCTATCAATTACACGGGAAATTAATTACGGTTTCCAATAAAAATCTTATTTTACGAGGATGTTAATCGGCACAATGACGAATCCAAAAGATTATGAGTGAGTAAAACTTTTTTTTTCAAATTTTCATTCGAAAAAGGAAAGAAAAATTAGTGCAAAAATTTCTTCGAAATTTTCTTCTTTGCCCGGTGAATTTTTCGTTCGCGAAGTTATTTCGATGAGAATTCTCTTAATTTGATATAATTGAAAATATTTTTCGACATTTAATTATTATTTCATCGATTATCTTTAAACTTTTGTGAAAAATAAGACTTTTATTACCTTCTCAACGTTTTCTTTTATTTTCATTTCCAGCAGTGGGGGAATTCGTCGTATCCATTATAAAACGTGATTAAGAAATAAGAATTTAAAATTAAGAATAAACGATTTGCAATTAAGATGATTTCTTTCTTCGAAAAAACGTAAATAAATATATACGACGCAGAATTTTTTTTTTTTTATCTCGCAGTGAAGAACAAGCGAAGATCACTATGCAAATTAACAAGTAAAATTAAACCTATCTAAGCTTTTTGCTCTATTATCTTTTGCGATTAAATCTTAATGTCAAACAGGTGAAAAATAATTTCGAGAAAATATCTTAACAAAATATATATTAAAAAATTTAAAACGTTATATCAAAAGATTATTAAATCCTTTACCAGAATTTAAATTACAAAAATTTTATATATTCTGTAATATTCATTTAAATATACAATCTTATGAAAAAAAAGAAAAAGAAAAAATGTGTCACAATCACAAGATTGTGCGTTTCTTTATTAAAATCTTTATTAAAATTAAAAAATCATATTTTGAAAAAATTAAATGCAACGAAATATGCATCGATATATATTTACTTACACCAATTTTTCATCAGTTTGCAAAGCATGTTTACCTCTCAATCACGGAGGAAAAGTCTGACGATTATAAATTGACGTGAGAATTTTCGGCTCTTATACGACAACAGATAAATCGATATGCAAGATAGTATAGGTGAAGGATGAAAAATCGAATTTTTTTCATTCGTTTTTCTGGATTTACACGAAAATGTAATATATTCGTTCGTATTTAATATTTACTTTTGTTGCAGCAATTTTTGATGCAATAATAAATGTTGATACAAAATAAATTTTATATGGAATACATATATATATATATATATATTGAATATCTATGTGACTTTGCGATAATATTTTTTCTTCTATTGCGTTTTCTTTCAGAAAATAAAGTTTCACGGATAAATATTTTATTACGATAGTTTTTTACTTTTTTTATTATTATATACTCAGAATATATATACTGAGAATTTATAGAAAAATTTCCGATAAAAATAATATGAAAATCATAAATAATTAATGAAAATTACAAAGTTTCGAGTTTGTCGATGTTTAAAGCAAGCGAACGTATTTTTGATGAAATATGAATGAAAAATATACGACGAAAAAACATAATTTAAAAATTTTAAAGAATCGAAAAATTTCGTTAAATAGTAAAAGAAAAATAAGTAATTCAAAGTAAAAGATAACATAACGTTGAATTTCAATCAGAAAACGGATTTAAATCGAGAGTGCTAAATTTAAAATACGATTTCGTACTATATCGTTAAAAATTCAAGAATTAATATATGTAGATCTCAATTTTCGATGGATTCCATCGTAAAATATACGATAAAAACCCTTGCTTCGATCGAACAATCTACTAACGGATTATTAAGCTGACAACGGATTTTTCTCACAATCTTAATCGCCATTTTTCACGGCCGTAAAAATTACGGGAAAATTATTTTCCACGAAAGGAGATAAATTTGTAAATTTTATTGAAATTATCGACCGCCCTTCCCCGCGTGTTCCACGTTCCAAACGAACAAATATTGAGAAATTTGTCGTCGAAGTGATTAAAATCCGAGAAAAATCTGAACAAAAATAATAAAAAAGCGAGACTTACACGCGGCGCGATGTCATGTGGTATCGGCGTTTCATGACTCGCCAAATCTCCCAGCAAATAGCCGTGTAACAATACGCCATCACGGCTAGGGGTAACACCAGGACCAACACCAGCATATAAACCTCGTGGGCGCGCCATAAAAGTCCACCTTCCGAATCACGAACGCACCAATAAGCGATTACCCTCAATCCGACTTCCTTGTGTGTCTGGAAAACAATTTTTCCATTATCTAACCGCAAATATATACCATTAATATTCCAATATACATTAAACGTCCCAAATATCAAATAATTTTCTCACATAAAAATATTTTGTGAGAAATGCGATCGAATTCGAAACTAACGAGGCAAAATTGAAGACTCGAATTCATAGAAAGAATTTTTAATCGAAATCACAGAGATACGTATCCTCGTTTTACGAGTTGGCGCGTAAAGATATTTATCGAACCGTTCCAGGTATCTCTAACGAGTCGCAAAGCGACGATCGTATCGTTCTTTTCGTCGCGCTCGTGTCACTTACATTGGGGAGACACGCGCGACCGAGTCGTGTCGCGTTTCATTAATCCTTTCCTTTCCTTTTGTATCGTATCCCTATTCACGCGGGGAGACAAAGATTTCATCGAAACCGGGCCACGCGCTCCCTCGTTTTTAATTACGTGTCGCGATCCTCGAGGCACGAGGGCCTCGATTCGCCCGCCACGAGGAGCGGTGAAAGGAGCGGAGCGTGAAACGACTCTCCCTTATCAAAATGTATCGTCCAACGCTCGACATTTCGATAATTTATTATCGATACTGACACTGTCGCGTTTTAACCGTAGCTCGAAGAGCGTCCAAGCGCAAAATAGGGGTGTTTTCCTCCCACGCTCTTTCGAACGAATTCGCTCAATTTTTCACTTCCTCCATCGATTCTCCTTCCCTCCTCTGAGTTCCGAAACGACTAACCTCTTAACGCTCTGATAAATACGCGTCTCTTGCCGCGAGACAAGAACACACGAGGGATGCGCGTCGACTCGCTCAGACCGCGACCACCAATGTTGTCTCGCGCATATTTGCACGGACCAGCAATTCCTTTAAATAGGATATCGGAAATCGAGGCAATTTTTCCTCCCTTCGTCTCGCGTGCACAAGATATTGGATAAAAGAGATTGATAACCGACGCAATTTTCGTAAGAAGCTTTCTGTTCTCCAGAATTACATCTACTCATAGACGGAATACAGAACGATTTATTTGTGAAAAATGCGATTTTTTCGAGAGAATCGGTTAAAATATCAGAAAACACGAGCGACACTTTTCCAAATTATATATCTTACGAAAGATACATATAAGTTATTTTTCTCTGCTGTCGAAAGAAAGAAAATCGATCAACTTAAAATCGATCGATTATTTCTTCGAAATAAGGAAAGCGTACCTGCGTGAAGATCATTGGTATACCAAGAAGGAAGGACGCCACCCAAGTTGTAATTACTATTTTGCGAGCCTGGCTTATCGTGCACGTGTACTGGGCCCGCATAGGGTGAACTATGGCGTAATATCTGAAACACGAGAGGAATTTTTGATTAGTCCGCCAATATTCGTGACCGCATGGAACGTATTAACGTTGTAATGAATCGAGACTCCATGCGATCTTCACATGCTTATTAAGAGCTAAGAAATAAAATATAAATAATTCCGGGCCGAGTGAACGCGTCAACTTTCTTTCTTACTGTTTCACGTTTTCATTGACTCGACATCAAAAGATCAGATGATTGAAAAATGATTGGGATAAATGAAACGAAATTGCAACCAACGTTTCGTTTTTACGGTTATGGTTTTTTTTGGTGTTTTGATATGCGCGTTTAACTTGATTCTTTCTCTTATTTATTTCTATTTTACGGGTTATTCTCTCTGTTCTGAATACCTGTGCAGTTAAGCGAAAAGAGATTGCCACTATGATCGTTCTCTCGTTCAAAGCGCAGCCACGAATACAAAGTGGGTTGATACGCGTATATTTCTAGATCCTCTATCAATCAACTGTCTACCCACGTCGCTGAATGCGACCGAATTTAAACAGTCACGCTTCTAAAATTACTTTTCCTTCGATAATTTAATTTCTGGTGTTTTACGATTTTTCGAAATAATTGTATCGAATTGAAAAAATTTTTTCTTCTTACTTTCATTGGAAAAAAATCCAAGATTCTTATTTATGTAATTTTACAATTTTTACAATTCGATTAAATTCGAAGATTAATAACGAAAAATTCGGAGGAATAAAAAGGATAAAAAAGCGGATTTAGCGAACAAGCAAATAAAGAAAAAAAAAGCAAAGAAATATTTGCAATGAATTCCAATGATCCAATTGCACCTATCGATAACTTGGACTTAATACAACAAACAACGGCTTAAATATTATTATTCCTATAGCTCGGTGTAATATTATCAAAATAAATTTCGCATTTAGCTATTATAAATTCAATCGTCGACCATAATTAAATTCAAACCGCTAACAAATAAATCAGCTTTCCAATACGTTGCTTAATCATCCTCGATGCTCCTCCTAAATATTTGTCCTCGTTACGTAGGGGAATAGAATCGTAGGAAAAGATTATTTCAACGAGAGTTCGACGAGAAACGTTTTCTATCACCGAAATCCCCAGCACATCCCCCCTTCTTCCCTTTCGACGGCTCCCTGTGTCGCTAATAAAAACATATGGACGATTTCTATCTCCTTTCCACGGGGATGGTCGCGATAAACCGCGGGAGAAAAGGGATGGATCGATTTAATATCGCGGGGGAGGAGGAGGAGGAGGAAAGGTAGGCGACGATAAGGCGATTCAATTTCCTTTAGGAAGACGAGATAAATTTTAAGCATAGTTAGATAGGAAATTGTTGGATAATGCGTGCGCGAGGCCTATTTTTATCGGTGTTTCACGAATGGCGAACGTGATCAGCGAGCTGAAACAACAACCTCCATTGTAAATTCTCAAACAAGTTTTCACAGCCCCCCTCTTAATCCCGCCATTTTTAATCACGGGAGGGCGGACGATATATCCTCTTGGTGAGATTAATAAAAGCTTGATACATTTCGGACGATCCAATTCTGTTTACGTGCAATAGCTATCTTTATTCTCGTAAATATTTGTATTCTTCATCGTGACCTATATAAGTAATTATATACCTTTGAGATTAATAATAAATTATACGCAAATATTTCTATCGTGTGATCAATTCCCTCGCTTCAATAACGTATTACGCCGGATCAAGGAATTAAAGAATCGATAAAATTTCAATTTTCACCAAAAATTGAAAAAATTGTCAATGTTTGAGCTCGTTGCGACTTTGTAAAAAAAAAAAAAAAAAAAAAA